TGTATCAATATTGAACAAAGAATTGTTCCTATAGAAAATGGGAAATAATATGTCAAATTACTTTTTCTATTACGATAATGTATATTTAATTTTGTATATATTCATAGTTACTAATTATTGTTTTTTGTAGGCATTCCTTGTTCTTATGGCCTTTTTGTTATCATGTCGATTCATGAAAGGCCATAGACATATGTGGATGAATACTACACTGTGAAAACCCAAAAGGACGTCTACTCTAATTTGACTAATTTGATAAGTCCAGTTAGAGGTCAGATTTAATGGGTTCATATTAAAACAACGAAGCCTATCCTACCACCTGTTTTGAGAATGCCCATAGGAAGACCACAAAAAAAAGGTTGATGAAGCACCACCTTAGGCTGCCAAGGTTACAAATAAGGGTTTCATATTGTTTTGTAGGAAGTGTAGAGCGTCTGGACATAATGTGAGAACATACAAGGGTCAAGTAAGTGGTACTATCAAACAACACCTGCTACCAAAAGATAAAAAAAATTACAGTATGCTCTTTTTTAGACATTTTCTTATTCTTGGTTTGATTATTTGGTACACTTGATTTCATTATTGTTTTCGTTGATTTGTCTATTAGTTTGATTATTGGTTTGGATATTTTAGACATATTTGTTTACCATTCTTGTTTTCGTTGTTTTTTTTTTTTACAGTTTAGAATAAATATAACAACTCAAAACCATTGTCAACAAGCTCCAACACAACAACCTTCACAAGTCTATATTGTTAGATAGATGTATAACCCCACCCTCTCAGTGTAGTTCTTCTACTCATAACCATCAAGAAGCTCATCTAATACCGATCCAAGCTTCAGGGCTCTATACTATTAGATGGATGCTCAATCCCATTGTACCCTTCAGCCAAAGTAGTTCCACCAGTTAATCATCTTCAAATATGCATAAGAGTGATTCTTTATTATGGTTGCAATAGAAATAGCACAATTGTTAGATGATTTTTTTGTCAAATTTGACCAAATATGCATAGTGTTGGTATCCACCATGATGTTGTGATTAAAAATATAACAACTTTTTGTTAGACTTACTTAAGTGGCTTTATATATTTTGTTGATACCTTGTTAAGATATGACACTTGATTATATATATTAGTCAAACATATTTGGAATTATGAAATGAATGGAATTATATATTTTGTATGAAAATGTCTTTTTATCTTATGTATATTGGTCATATATGTAGTATTTCTTCATACACATTTTACCTAACAATGATAAATCTTCATTTACAATATAACAACAATTCATCATTACATTGATACTTCAATTACAACAAATATTCATACACATTAAAACTTTAATTACAATAACAACCATAATGTGTTACCCTTACACAAACATTAAAACTCATAAAAATATTATTAAGGCATATATTCATAACATTACTATAAATCTTCAGTCGACCCCACTATAAATCAAATGAAAAGATAACAATTCATAATACCATTCTCACAAAGAAGAAAAACATAAAAGTAAAAATCAAAACAAGTTTTTGTTTTTTTCTTCCCTGCTCCATAGCTCCAATCCTTCTTAAAAGACCAAGAATATTGGTTTTTGACCGATAACTTACTGGTGGAACAAACCAACAAAAAAACTTGCAAACCCTAACCTATTTTCCATAATTTGCACAGCCTCAAAATCTTCTACCCGAATTTTCATCAGTCCAACCAGTGGTTATCGTTAAACGAACTCCACATAAACACAATTGGTTCGTATTTTCTGTATCCATTTCTTGATTTCAGTCTTCTATTCTTCTTCTTCTTTCTTCGCTATCGTTCCTCTTCTTCTTCCTTCACAATAGTTTCTCTTCTTTTTTAGTAGCTTTTTAGGGTTGAATAAAGAAAGCCTTTACATATGGTGGTTTTTAGTTCTTTTATATACAAAACTTAAGCTAGGTTTTTTATGTGGCATAATGCCGTGGTAAGTAAATGTACTCAATGTGGGATAACGAAAATAATGAAAAATACATGTTAGATGCGTCGTTTGGTTTTTAGCGCCAAGTGATATGATTGAATATAATTACATAGTTATAAGGTATGATTGAAAAAATTGAAAGATGGATGGCAAAAGTAAAAGGGTTAAATAGTTAAGTGATCAACTTTATAGTTTACCCAAATTAATATATGATTCGAGGAATATTGTAGATAACAAAAATAATTAGGAGTCAGGACCACATTATTCAAAAGCATAAGTTCTTAAAATTCATGCAAGTATCCCTATAACATTGCTTATGCAACAATTGCTTTTCTTTGGGACAACATATGTCCTAATAAATTCATTATCATTTATCTTGCCTTTTGTTTCTCCTTTATCATATGAACTAGTAACTAAAAGTCTAAAACACATGATTTAAGTTCTACCAATAGTCTTTTTAACTTTCATATCAAGAAGCCAACCATATATATATTTTTGGTATAATTGTAATACCCCAAATTTTCTAGTAGTGATCAAAATGTAAGTTTTGAAAGTTTAATGGCCAAATTATAATTTTAAATAGTTTAGGGACCCAAAAATATAATTTTAAAAGTTATATATTTTTGCATGTAAATGAATAGTTTGTCTCGAAATAAGAATTTTTTGGGGGAATTAGAATTTTTATTCGGAGTTTGTATTAAAAGCTATAAAGTAGTAAAATCCACTAAGAAACCGGATAATTGGATCGAACCAGAATTTTACAAAAAATTGAAGGATTTTAGATAAAGGTTGGAAATATTATTTCTATATTTTAGAATAGTGAAATTTAGCATGGGTAAGTGGAATTGAAGTTAATTTTCTTTATTTAGCTGAAATTGGGAAAATTAAATGACTAAATTGTAATTTCAAAAATTACATGGCTAAAGTAGAAAGTCAACTTCAAGTTGGTTCATCTTTGACTTTGTGTAATGCCCCGAAATATGGTTTAGGAGTTTTGGATTTAATCGTTTGGGTTTATGAATTATTTTACCCTAATATATGAACCTTTGAACCCAAGTGGATTTGATTTGGGCTTGGTATGAGCCCAACTAACTATTAAAAGGGATTCTCTTAATCATGGACCAAGGGAGGAATGACATATGGTTAAATTCGTATTCGAGTCTAGTTTCTAATGGTACAAATGAAATAATTTTTAAGTATGTATATTAATACAAAATAATACTTCTTTGAAGGTAGTGCAAGCTGTCAGAGTATGAAATTTGATAAATTATATAGTTGAAGCAATTGAAAGTGAAGGATTAAATCTAAAGCTTAGTGAGGCTTATATTTTGACTTATAAATAAAGTATCAAAGTGAGTGTAGTTTATTTATTTAATTATTTATTCTGATTGAGAAAGACTTGTGATAAGTCAACCTCATATTAATATTTTAAAGAATGAATTTTCAAATATAATTTTAAGAATGATCTATTATTTTAGAAATAAAATATTTCTTTAACAATTTTTCAGAAATGTTATTTGAATTCATTTTAGAGCATAAATTGCCTACGAGTACTTTATATGGTATCTATGTTATAATTATGAATGATTTCGGGAATGAACAATCCAAATTATGATTTTTATGATGATAAGTTGAAATGGATTATGATATGGGAATGTGGATTTATTAAATGAATATGATATGATATAAAAGCACATTGTATATTGCATTGAGAGTCATATGTACACTTTGCATGCCAGGAAAATGAGTCAAGTTAAGTTATGGTACATTCATGTACATTACGTATTGCACCGTTGGTGCACGTGTTATGATTTGCACTTGGAGTGCATCTTACTATGATGATTAGCTCTGTGATGTGCCTAGTGCACACCTTGTGGTATACTCATGTACCTTGTATTCTCTTACATATATATTGGGCTATGAAAGTAAATGTGAAAGTTATGATAAGTATATGAAAGAAAAGAATATGAAAATGAAATGAAAGTTATGAAATATGTACGAATGAAAAGAATATGAAATGTTTGTTAGATGTTGATTTACATGATTTTTGATAAAATCATGAGATGATGATTTTCAGGGTTTTCAAGAGGAAAACAACTTGAATAGTCAGTTTTAATTTTTTGATTAAATTACAGATTTATGTTTATAATACTTTATGAAATTTATGTTTTATCTCGCTTTAGTAGGTTAATGCCTCACAAAGTTTTTACTTAACGCGTGATGATTTACATGCGTAGGTTTTGATAGAGAAAGGAACGTGAAGTGGGGAGCCTCTGGAGCATCTTTCTAGAAAATCATACATAATATCAGTATGAATAAGACATCTTATCTTTAATCTACTAGTGAAATGTATATTATATATATATGTTGCTTTATCGGATTTTTTTAAATGGTCTGTAATAATAAATTAAGACCATTTATTTTGGTTAGTCTAGTTATATTTGTATCTATAAATAAATAGTATATAAATATTTATGTTTTGAATGATTTCCTAATTAAACAGTATTTAGGCAATTTTAAATATGTTGATAAACAAATTGAACTTAGTAGTTGCTATCTAATCATATTTAAATGGTGTATAAAAATATTATTTTATGATTTTACACGATTAACGAAATAGTTTAAAAGTTGAAAAAGGAAGATTTTTTTAATGAAACAAATTTTTAAGCATTTATGATCAAGGAACTCTAAAATGTGGATGTGACACCTTTAGCTCGTATCTCGAGACATATACGAGTTATGAGTTTTACAATAACTATCGATATTTGATTTATTAATCGACTAATCATGATCGGGTATTACAGAGGAGATAACGACTCTCCCAACCCTATTTTTTCAATTCGTAAAAGTCAGGATTCAAACCATTGATCTTGCTTAAGGCAAGATTCGAACACTTGATCTTGCTCAATGATAGTGCCTCATTGGTAGCCAATTATATACTTCAGTGCCTGCTAATGAAACCTGATTATTTGTTTTGGGGTTTGATTAATTAGTTGAATACGTTAATAGATGAAAAAAAGCAATGCTTAAAGGATTCTAGATTCAAACCTTTGATTATATAACAAGATACAGAGGTGATATTATCATTATTTCAGCGATTTATATGCAAGATTGAGATAAGAAAGGAGAAAACACAGCTATACAGGTTAGAGTTTCCCTAGGAAATAGAGTAGTATTACAGTATGAACAAATAAATGAATTTGTGATTAGCCGGTTACTGATGCTTTTCCGTATTCATAACGAGAAACAAGTTGATTGGTGTTGAAGAACATCTTACTCTCTTCTTCATCATCCATCTTCCACAGTGAGTCCCAACAGTATTCCCATGAGGGAGAAGCCATTGAAGGAGACAGAGGCTTTATTATTGTGTTTTCTTCGGACATATCAATGTCTTTCCATATGTCATCCATGGAGTAACCGTGTTCATCTTCCAATCCCGCCATGTTGGGGCCTCCGGTGTCGTAGAAACTTGCCTTTCCAGTGTCCGAGAAGGGCGAGGATTCAACTGCGGTGACTGTCGACGACGATGAATGACAATTCGAAGACGATGACGATGGTGAGACGGCTTGTTTCTTTTCTTGAGCCTTCTTTCTCATATGAGTTCTCCAATAGTTCTTGACTTCGTTGTCGGTGCGACCAGGTAATTTCCGAGCAATTCTCGACCACCTGCAACGTCAATAACATGTATGCAATCAAGGCCATTTTTGAGGTTTGTTAATGGAAACACTCAAAAAAGAGCTTCATAAGTGTTTTTCAAACCTGTTTCCCCATTTGGCGTGAAGCTCGAGGACTAGTCGTTCTTCATGGAGAGTCATCTTGCCCCTTTTGAGACCAGGGTGCAAGTAATTAACCCATCGTAACCTGCAACTTTTCCCGGTTCGGTTCAAACCTACAACAAAACCATGTGGTTAAAGGACAAAGGGTCCTTCCCAAAACCTGCCAATCTTCCTGATAATCCTACCTATTTCATTGTCTCCCGCCAGACCTTCAAACCTGAAACTTTGGCTATAAAATCCCATCGCCGGTCTCCGAATAAGTGAACAAAGTTCACCAGTAGGACGTCTTCTTGTTCGGTCCACGGACCCTTTCGGACTTCATCTTGCACCATTTTCATTCTCTCTTAGATTCTTCCTGGAAAAGGGTATTTAAGTTCAACTGATTGCGGCTAGTTCATGGAGACATAGGCGTACACTAGTCGAATATATATATAGTATTAAGCTACTTGGTGTACACTAATAAACATCATGATATTATTGCAAATAGTTTAGTAGTGTAATGCGCGCATTCCATTTGTGATAGAAACTTTATGCATCTGATGTCATCCACTATAACCAAATAATCTAAGTCATAGATTGATCTGTTAATGTAACTCTCAAAACGTCGTTGCTTCTAAGTGAAACTGCTCAATCTGGTTCATTACAAATATCTAGTAATTCTTCTCACAAATCTGATTATTACAAATCTTTAAATGAAAGGAATTAAATTGGTTTGGATTTCGAATCTCACGATCTGCATTTTTCCTTTATCTGCTGAGAAAAAGTGAAACTCCAAAGACAATACTAAAATCTGGGTGAGAAACCGGACGAGACACTAGATCTCTTAACTAAAGTTAGAAGTTCGAATTTTAACATTAGCGAATGAAGCAATTTGAGTTAGGATCACCTCATAATACGTCTTTACAAAATCCAATCCTCTATAGTCAAATCATTACATCAAATACCGGAGTTATACCCAAAAAAGAGGGTGAGTAAGTAAACTAATATTTGATTGGATAAGGAGGAATAAGGCAATGGAAGTCCCTAGATCTTCCTTTCCCCATCCATTCAAAATGAGGAAATGATATGAGTGTCCCTTGACTTTATTAAAAGCCATAGATATGCATAAGCTAAGAAATCAAAAAGACAAAACTTGAAAAGCAAGAAAGCAAAAGGAAGGCACTGCTTTAGATGTCATAAAAAGAAATTTTCTTCTTTAATGAAAATGGAGTAAGATATTCTTGAAAAACCTATTGTTAAATGCCAAGTAAATCAACATTCAACTCGATTACAAAGAAAGAGTTGGGTCTTTTGTAGTGCTCCTTGTACTCTAAAACATTAGAAATCTTGTTTGGGATATTTTAGGTCAATTCATTTCACTTTGATTGTACTAAAACAGTCTTATCTAATTCGAGGAATAAGTACAAGATCGTGATTTGTTAGTTTAATTGTTTTACGGTTTGTTGGTGGGTTTATTTGAAGTGATTTTGAGATCATAATTCGTTCAAATGTGATAATTCAATGATGACTGATTCATTATATAGATTAGAAATGAACTTTTCTCCTTACATTGCTGAACTGAAAGAAGAGTTGTGCAACACTACAACTTAAATTTATCTTTTTTCCAATGTTAGTACTTAGATGGTGGTGCTAGTCTGCTAGAATTAATTTATATGCTTATTTTTCTTCATTCATTATTGGCTTTATTTGCTTTTGATGTGGTGAATTTTCGATACACCAATCTGATCATTCTAGCATGCATTCCTTAATAAATTGGAACGAACGAATTCAAACTAGATCCTTGGGGGGAAATTAATTAACACTGTATCAAAAGCAGCCACTTCATGACAGTAACTTGAACTGTTGTAATTCAATTCTCAGGGTTTACATTTTAATTGTACCACACCATGTTGAAAGGTCCCAGGGATGCAGAATTTGGGGTCTACTTCCCTTTTCAATTTGATTGACAGCTGAACAAATGGTTACCAAAGGTCTCGAGGCAACATGTTAAATCATAATGAGGAATGTGATAAAAAAGGAGATATTTGAAGTGGAAGATGGCATCATTTGCCTCCTGCTAGTGCTAACTATGTTATATTTGTGGCTCTGAATGTTCGAACTGTTCCCAGCATTGCACAAAGCTAAAGATAAAAAAACAAACAACTATGAGACTTGGAAGGCATTCAATGGCATGGAGGCTCCTTGCTTGAAGGTTAAACATCAAAATATAAAAGGGTAAAGTACACAAATGGTCCCCCAACTATAGAGTGTTGCTTTATTGAATCTCTCGACTATTAAAAGTTACAAAATAGCCTTTCAACTATAGGGTATTACTTGTTGAGTCTCTCAACTATTAAAATTTACAAAATGGTCATCCGACTATTCATATGTTCCAAAAACTCATCCTTTTCTGTTAAAAAATTGATTGTTGTATAAGTTGGAAGTTAACATGCTGACTGAGATATGATAGCCATTTGAGATCTTAGGATTAGATTTTATCACATCCTTATTATTAGATTAATGTCTAGCTCAGATTGTTGTCAATTTTTAAAGAAAAATGACGAGTTTGAAACATATGAATAGTTGGATGATAATTTTATAACTTTTAATAGTTAGAATACTCAATAAAATAATGTCCTATAGTCGGAGGATTATTTTGTAACTTATAATAGTTGGGAGACTCGATTAAGTATCAATGTATAGTCGGGACAATTTATTTACTTTACCCAAAATGAAAAAGGAATTGAAGGATCATGACGTGGAAACCACCACAACTGTGGCCACCCCACTTGAACATTTTCTGCGCCTGACGCGTGGTCCCTTGATGCTTCTTTTCGGTGAAATTTCATTGTATATGTTAAATGCCTGTCATTTTCACAGATGAGTATCACATTTTCTTTAATGGAAGGATTTTGGTTCAGTCAGTTAAGTGCTATCTTCTGCAAGACCAAATCAATATTCTTTGAAGTTAAAAGAGGATAGTATCTTACTAGTCGACTGTGGATCTCCCTAATTTTCATTTTTACCGTATCTCAAATCATAAAAATTCAACTTTGTCGTCAATTCCTAGTTGTAAGATTTGTCTTACCTTCTAGTAGTGTTGTATCTCTTCCGCAAATTGTGACTTCACTGGTAATCCTTCACCTATCAAGGTATATAAAGTTATTATAAATTTTCGGAGTTTTATACCCTCGACAAACATTGCTATTTAACTTGATCGTTGTCAATTCTATTAGCACTAAATCTATTGTAATTCTATTTACTTTATTGACCTACAAATAGTCACAATTAACTTAAATCTGACATTAGAACTAAATGTCGTTATATAAATGACCAGAGATGAAGCTACGTAGGAAGTGGGAGGGGCTTTTGCCCCTCCCAAAATTTTTAGTTTAATAGCATTTTAGATCCTTATTAATTTAAATTTAAGTAAAATTGGATTTTTTTCCCCTCCAAATTTTTAGATTACATATATAATAAGTACTTTCTATTTTGAAATTAAGTATCTTGTCCCTCCCAATATTTGATCCTGACTCTGTCCCTGTAAAATCATTGTTTATCATTTTTTTGGTTTATTTATCTTCTTTTTGATGTTTATGAAATTATTATTTAGAATTTTTCGTTTAATTTAGAAGAGATAAACCGTGAAACACCACCACAATCACATTTTTCCTCTCAAGTAGAAAAGCTTTGACTCCGTTTTTCATTTTCCCTATCACTGGCCTTTGTTTTGTGTTTAAGCACATATTTAGCCATTGGTGTAGCTAGCAAGCAAGGGTTATTCCTAGTCAAACACTAACGTCCATTTGATATAATATATAATACCAGAAAATACAAAACCATAAGATATTTTAATTCATAAATCGCGTTTGGCTATATAACTTTACGAACCAATATACCAACTTGGATAACTATATATATATATATATATAGTCTCATTTGTGCAGTTGTGTGCTACTGCTTAAAGGTGTTGGAAGATGCGCTGCTCCTCATCATTGTTAATGCTGCCAATTGATATTTTCTTTAACATTATTCATAGTTTAATAATTAGATATTGAGTTGTGTTTGCTAATAATAGGAAGGACCGATCATGTATTGACCTTGATTTTACTCGAACAAAACTCAATTTAGAATGAATTTTATTTAAAGCTTTTTATCCGTCTGATTATAATTTCTAAGCAGAATATTCTCTATGAGACACCGCTGATCACGCATAAGTCAGAGTGTGGGTAAAATTATTAATATTATAAATAATTAAAAAGAAAATAGTCGGTGTTTCTTATGGACCACTTCCCACTTTAACTTAGAGATTAGATATATGGAAGTGGGATTATCTGCAATGAAGTTGGTGTGAATTGCAGCAGGAAAATTAAATCACTTGAATTCAACAACGGTTTGTTCAAATCCTGATGCGTAGTTTTCTTTTTTCTTTTATGGGTCATATCTGCAAGCACCACCACGAGTGGCAATATCTAATCGATTGGAAGGGGGAAAAAAGAGATTGAGATAAGGGTATGGCATCAGCTTAAGCTGGGATGTGATGGTGGTGGGTCTTTTGTTTGATAGTATCGGATTGCTATTTTATTCAATCTACAACTTAAACGTAGTATCATGGAAACTTAATTCAAAGGGTCATGCCTCTATCCCGGATTGTAAGTGTTAGTGTGGGGATTGTAAAGTCTCTGGGGAGGTCCCAGAAAATTACCCACTGTTTTTACTCATGCGACAGCAAACATCAGACAACAGTTTGTTGGATGGTCTGACATTGTGTATATTCTGCATAGTCTGGTTGTCCCAATTTTACCTGTAATAAGAGCATTAACCACATCAGTTAACTTATCGATTTTATTCTCCAAAGTAAATGTACTTATCTCGTGAACTAGTCGAGTGGGTTCATTGGAAGGGTAAAATTGTTGAGAGTTGGTGGCCATCGTAGAAAGTAAATTTCTGGCTGCATTTAGAGTATGTTCACAAGAGTCCCTCCGCTGGTTGCATCAACCATCTTCATCTCCAAAGGAAGCAAGCCTTCGTATAAATATTGGAGAAGAGTCTATTCAATTAATTCGTGTTGGGGACAACTAGCATAGAGTTTCTCGAATCGTTCTCAATAGTTGTATAATGACTCTCCATCTTTTTGCCGGATTCCTAGGATACTTCTTAATTCACTCACCTTCACTGTAGGGAAGAACATGTTAAGAAAAAGTCGAGTCATATCTGTCCATGTTGTAACAGAATTGAGAGATAAGTAAAATAATCATTCCTTAGCCAAATCGACAAAGGAAAAAAAAGAAATGCATGAAGTTTAATATGATCTTAAGATACTCCCTGTGGTTTTATGCTTAAACAAATCATGTGAAATTTTGTGAAATATTTATGTGAATTTTCACTTGGCAATCCATGGAAG